GCTTCCAGTTTTCTCTTTCTACAAAAATTCCCGAAACCTTCTGGCACTGCAATGGAGGTGCAGGAGAAATACAAATTGCCAGGACCACACAGAGAAACATGAACCAGGTTTGCAATAAATACGTAGAGAGAGAGATGGACAGACAGACAGACAGACAGAGCACAATTGTAACGATGTTGCTACGTTGTCAAGTATACATGAATAAACATAATCGCATTCACATGAATTCGGCCAAGGTGAAAGGTCAATTCACCATCTCTGGAGACAACCCCTCCAGCATGCTGTACCTTCAAATGAGCAACCTGAAGGCAGAGGAAAAGGCGATATATTACTGTGCATGAGGCAAAGAGGGAGGAAGCGAATTTGCAGCCAGACAAAAATCCTCCTCTGGACTGACTGGCAGATTCATAGCAGCATCCCAGCATAGAGAAGAAGGAGGAGCTTCTGAAGTCAAAGAGAGCTCCATTCACCCAGCTGAACATGTGGTGTAGGAGTTCTCCCCATATTCCTCGCATCCATTTAATGGCCTCCAACTCCTTTCTGCAGATCAACCTATGAGTAGAAAAATGCAGGTGAGACAGTAAGTATGAGATCAAGCCCCATGTGCTCCACACTTCTTTTCTCAAAGATCACCTTTCTCTCAGTGCTTCTCTAGGCAGCATGTTCTGTGGCACAATATACCTAGGAAATTGACAGTGTATTTGGACATGTGTGAGTGGAAAGGAGCTGCCACTTCTGCTGGATGTGTGGATTTCCCTGGCAGTCTCTCACTCCATGACTGGAGCCCATGCGGGCTCTCCTCCATCACCCCAAAGGGGGCAGCAAGCACACACTCCTGATGAATGTCAAATGCCTTCATCCATGCACGATGGGATATAAATACATGATTCAAAGAGTCATCCATGAGTGACCTTCTGTGACTTCAGCTGCCTCCATGAACGCTCCTTGTGCTTGTTTGCTTGCCAACTGCTCCTGCCCCTCCGTCCTGTCGGTCCCCTGAGATTCCTGCTACGATGCATTGTGGACTGTCAAGGGAAGAGTGAAAGGGAGGGAGCAACAAATACTTCCAAGTGATGTAATCACTGGATCAGAAAAAGAGAGACCAGGAGGGGGCCAGAAGGCCATCTGCTCCAACACTCCGCTCAGTGCGGGACACCAAGTTCAACCTTCCCTGTGGACAACCATCTTGTTGTGAAGCAAGGAAAGCTGAGAGCAAGACAAAGGACTGTCAGCAAGGCCTTTCCCTAGTGGGACAGACGCTATTAGAGCCAAGAGGCTTGGGTTGAAATGGGGGTGTCCAGAGGGGTGTCCGAACTGGAGCCGAGAGGAACAAACGAGATTATGTGCAGTAACTTCCTAGACATGATGAAGAGCATGGGAGGGAAGGCCCGTAGCTAGGGCAAGGGGGCTGGAGGAGGCAAGAGAGTTGTGCGTACAAAACCCATCAGGGAAAAAGCAGAGGGCTTTCACAAGTGTGGGGCAGAACGAACCAGCCACTGGGGCATTTGGCAATGGAGCTTCGTTGCCACAACCACGTTTGTGTCTGGCCATAGATTTTGGAGGGCCAACCCCAGAGCTTTTATTCTGACACATATGCAAATCTCCTGGGCTGCTCCCTCTTTAAATCCTCCAGCCACACTCTCTGTGCACTGTGTACCTCCACGCACTTTGCCGTCAGTTCTTTCAAACTAGTCTAAGGGAAAATGATACTTTTGCTTCAGCTGGCTTTACTTACAGCAGCCCTTGGAGGTAATATTTTTTCCTCAAAAAGCATTTTCTGTATGACAGGTATTTATGTACCCTCCACATCACTGTCATATTTGTTGTCTTCTAGGTGTGCAGTCAGAGGTGCAACTGGTCGAGTCTGGAGGGGATGTGAAAAGGCCGGGAGAGTCCCTCCGCCTCTCCTGCCGGGCCTCCGGCTTCACCTTCAGCAGTTACAGCATGGACTGGGTGCGCCAGGCTCCAGGGAAGGGTCTCGAATGGGTTGCCTATATAAGCAGCGGTGGGGGCAGCATATACTATGCGGACAAGGTGAAGGGGCGCTTCACCATCTCCAGAGACAACCCCTCCAACATGCTGTTCCTGCAAATGAACCGCCTGAATGCTGAAGACACGGCCGTGTATTACTGTGCAACAGACACAGTGGGAGGAAGTGAATGTGCAGCCGGGCAAAAACCCTCCTCTGGACTGAATTTAAGAGAAAGAGTTGCATCACTGCTTAGACAGGCAGGAGATGCTTTTCAAGCAAAGGAGAGCTCTGCTTCCCCTAGAGGAATATAGAATGAACCACATATCACCATATCCCTCGGATCCACTTAAAGTCCTTCTCAGAAATTCAGGGGTCCCTCCACGTTTTGTGTCCAACCTCCGGCTTCAACATGAGCACCTTCAGCAACTGCTTGTGAGAGAAGCCCCTGAGACGGGACAGGAATGGAGTGTAGACACACGGCAGAGGAAGCGGAGAATGAAATGGACTCCCCGAAGGAGCTTTTCACCAGCCCCAGAAACAGTGGATCCAACATGCTGCTTCTGAAACTCAGCAGCCTCCCAGTCGAGGAGCCGACTGTGGATTCCTGGGGAGGAGAAATGCAGGGAGAGGAGGTGAATCAGAAGCCAGGAAACTGAATGGGGGAACGAGGCCGGGAGAATATGTCCTCCTGGAGTCCCAGCTATGTATTTGCCACGGCTGCATTAAAAAATAGTTCGCCTTCCATCAAAGTATGCAAACCCTCCATGCTCAGAAAAATACATATGGCAAGGACCTGCTGGGATCGTATATCCTGCAGAAAAGAAAGCCTCCCTTTCTCAAAGGTCACTCCCAATTGTTCAATAGCAAGTACGTGAATTGCTGCAAGGATGTGTGTCTTCAGGCATAGAGTGCTGAATCATCCATTGGGGCCTTCCAGGAGCTTTGATCCAAACAAACATGCAAATGTTCAGGAGTGTTTTCGCAGTCAAGCAGTCTTGCAAGCAATCTGCCATCAGCACAACTGTCTGGCTTCGTGCCACCTGGTGAGGCAGAACTGCCATTCCTGCCTGCAGTAGTTTCTGAGGGGCTTTGCCAGGGGGTGGCCCTGCTTCTGTTCTGCTGGAGGACCCCTATGGCCAGCTAACTTGCTGCCACGAGTATGGAGGATCAGACCTTGGTTATGATCCAGCACCTCCTACGTTGTCTTCTCCTGTTCTTGGCCTGCAACGCGCATGGGAGCTCAATGGAATTGAAGCATGATGTTGATGATCCACATGGTTTAGGGAGGAGGTTTAGGGTGGAAGGGGCAATAATGCAGGCAGATGCAGGGTGTCTCACATCAAGCCCCATGTGCCCCAGAGTTCTCTTCCCAAAGATCACATATCTCACAATGCTGTCTGGGCAGCATATTGGAAACCTGCAGAAGACATTGTATGGTGAGGAGGGAGGTCTGACTTGTCTCCTTTCCCCTCATTTTGCCCTTACCATGTATGTTGATTCCTCAGTTATACAACGGAATGTGTTCATGTTTCTCATATTCTTTTCTCCCAGGCGTAGAGCAATCGGGAAGATCCTAGATTACTCCGGAGCTGTTTTGCTCAAAGGCCAGGTACCGGGCATGTGTAGAATGGAAGCTTGTGAGTCAGAAGCATTCAGCCATAAAACCAGAGGGGTGAGAGCTTGCGTTTGGGAGCTTCTACACAGATCAGGTGCCGGATGCTGTGTGATTGATGGCCTGGGGTCTCTCTGGTAGCCTAACTGCAGCTCCTGGCAGCTGAAGGGGAGAAGATATTCTTGCAAGGTATAAATGCTATTTTGTTTTCCTGTAGATAAATAAAGCATTACAGTTCCTTCACCTACCGGTGTGCTCATTGCCCCCATATCCAAAGGAACCCCTGCCTCCTGGCAGAATGTTCAAAGGAATTGGAGGTGAGTTTGCCACTGCTGGATGAATGGATTTCCCTGTCCATTTCTCAACCCTCCATCAGCCCAAAGGGGGCAGTACGTGCACAACAATGAAACACGCCGAATGCCTTTAGCCATGCAGAAGGGGAAAGAAGCACATTATTCAAATATTCATCCATGAGTGCCCTTCTGTGACTTCAGCTGTCACTGGGAGCGGTTCCTGTGGTTGTTTGCTTGCCAACTGCTCCTGCCCCTCGTCCCCTCAGTTCCCTGAGATGCTCCCCATAGTTCATTATGGATTGTCAAGGGAAGAGGGAACTGGAGGGAGCACAGAGGTACTTTCAAGAAATGTTAT